TAGTATATGCCTGTAATTTCATCACTTGAGAGATAGAGGCAGAGGATCTATGAATTCAAGGACAACCGAGCTAGGCTACATGAGAATGTCTCAAAAATCCATCAAACTTAACTGTGTGTTTACATACATATAGCACTGATTCACATTTGCTAGGTTTCACTTGTTCATGATCAGTCATGTCAGATATTCATAGAAACCCAAAATGAACCAGGTAAAGAAAAAAAAAAAAAAACTTGGTCAAATGAGTGTATTGTTGGATCTATCCAGTCTTATAAGGAACTGATTGATCAGCCTGTTTCATGTTTAGGAAAACTAGCTAAAGAAGTGGTGTTTAGCTGGGCGGTGGTGGCACAAGCCTTTAATCCCAGCACTTGGGAGGCAGAGGCAGGTGGATTTCTGAGGACAGCCAGAACTACACAAAGAAACCCTGTCTTGAAAAACAAAACAAAAAAAAAGTGGTGTTTATAGGTGCTGTAAGAAGACGGTGAGACACAGTCTGAATTCAGAGCTCACTGGTGGCTTTCCCTTAATCTTTCCTGAAGTATTGTTCTCTTATCTGAAATAAACTTAAGTTTAACTAGAGTTACAAACTTTGGCAAATGACACTGAAAATTAGAAAGTTGTCAGTAGAGTAGAGATCTGTTTTTTTTTGTTTTGTTTTGTTTGGTTGAGACGGGATTTCTTTGTGTAACTTTGGTAGTCCTAGAACTCACTCTAAACCAGGCTGGCCTTGAACTTAAAAGAGATCTGCCTGCCTCAGTCCCTGAGTGCTGGGATTAATGGTGTGTTACCACCACTGCCCAATTTGCAGGTTCATTTCTCTTAATCTGAGAGAGTTCAGCCCACATACTAAGTACATAAGGCTACATACTAAGGGATCTGAGAGTTCTTGATGTGTAAACTCCAGTGGAGGCATGATCAATGACAGTGCCATTCATTTCATGACAAATAAGTTGACCTGGTGTGGTAGCATATGCCCATAATTCCTGGTCTTTAGAAGCTCAAGCAGAAAGATCATGGGTTGAAGACCAACCCGAAGTTACATTGATCTGGTTTCAAAAACAGAAAAATACCACACCCCTGGGTTTCTCTAGTTCTGGCTGTACTGGAACTCTGTACATCAGTCTGGCCTCTAACTCGGATCCACCTCTCCGCCTTCCAAGTCCTGGGATTAAAGACATGTACCACCTCCCATCCCTGTTAGAATATTCATTTATAAAGTGAAGGAAATGCTGATTCCAAATGTAGAAATTTGAACTACAAAGTGTTCTTTGCAATTCAGCAGTTTTAAAACTTGACATAAGATTTTTGGCATATTTGATTTTCAGGTAGGGGTGCTTAGCTAAAAGCCTACAAGTATCTGTGAAACCCAAGACACTTGATAGCAGTGCTATAAAATTAAAAGATAAGAGAATGTCTATACTGTACCGGCAAGATCCAAGTAAAGAGTGATTGTTGCTGGCTTACATGCATAATGAGGTGCCGCACTGGAGAGCAGTTGGATCGTACATGTAAACAGTTTCTCTTCCCCTTTGAACTATGGTTTTGGTGACTAGCCTAGGAAATAGTATAAATTAAAGCATTACTTGGGAGAGCAGAAAGTTTGGTCTACAATGAAATCATCTATTGAGGTTCTTTGCCAAACCCATGATTTTGAGGGGAAAAAAAAACCCAAATCTCTTCATATTTTCAGTGCTGTTGAACAGAACAAGAAGCCTTGAAGTTGGTATTGGTTTTGGTGTAGGGTCGGATTCCTCTTTGGCGTTTATTATTGTATGTCATGGAGTTTTTAATACTGAGGAAGAACTGAGTTTTAAAGTGATGTTGATAATAATTCAATTAGACCAAGCTCTTATGTTAGTAGAGAGAATTGAGAATTTTTATTCAAGGAGATGGTACAATGGTAGGAGCATTCTGAAACAGTTATGAAGGAAAGCATGTATGCAGGGCTCTTCGGCACATAACACTTCCTTCTGGGCTAACTAGATCAGATGTGCATTGAGAGAAAAATCTTTTGTAATTATAGATGCATTGTTGTATTTTATTTATTTATTTTTTTGTTTTTTCGAGACAGGGTTTTGTGTAGCCCTGGCTGTCCTGGAACTCACTCTGTAGACCAGGCTACAGAAATCTGCCTGCCTCTGCCTCCCAAGTGCTGGGATTAAAGGCGTGTGCCACCACCACACGGCTGCATTGTTGTATTTTAAAATGTATTCAGTGAAGACATTTTTATTGTGATACATTTTGTAAACCATCAGCCTTCATCTGAGCTTTATGAAACAACTGACTTGTACTGACTTCTTACTAGGTTTGTTGGACGATTTAAATCTCGGAAGGAACGAGAAGCAGAACTTGGAGCAAGAGCAAAGGAGTTCACCAATGTTTACATCAAGAACTTTGGAGAAGACATGGATGATGAGCGCCTTAAGGAACTCTTTGGCAAGTTTGGTAATGTGTCCAAGTTCAATCTTTACACTTAGAGTAATTGTTTAAAGTTAATGACTAATATTTGACTAGAGTTAGGCTGTACTTCAATGCACCAACAGTAATATGCAAGTGGAATGCTGTACAGTGGCTAACACAAGGCGAGGGTGGCTGAGGAGATTTAAAGGTTTTGCCACATTAAGATACTTTTAATACACATGTTATTGTAAGAGGTAGGTGGTGGATGATCTCTGAGATCTCAGGATTGGAGTAAAAGATGAAGAAATCAGAATTTGTAGGTGATTTGTGGCTTTTTTGTTGAACCTAAGAATGGCCTTTTTTAATTTAGTTATGTATTATATCTAATACAAGGCTGTGTTGAGCTTTGACAAGAGACTCACTTTGTAGCTCTCACTGCCATGCAACTCACAAGAGATGTCCTGGAATCAAAGCCACAAAGCATGTACCACCATACAGGGCTGAATCCTTTTAAGTAAAAGGAACTTTGATTATGCACAGATATTAATCATGTAAGATGACAGTCATATTTTTGCACCTCATTCAAGGTTCTCTTATATCTCATCTGTCTTGCATCTGGAAGTTTTAAAATAAAAGGCTTTTTTTGGTGGTGGTGGGGTAGTCCTTGGACTTACTATGTATGTAAAAGGTTGGATAGATCCACCAGCTGCCTCTCAAGGGATAAGATTAGATTAAAAAAAAAACTGTCACTTCTTGTACAGCCTGGTTAGAACTAAGAATAAAATCTTTCATAATTTGTAAGGCATCTTAAAAATCTTAAGAGTCTTTGGAAGTGCATATGGGAGACCAAGTAAAAACCTTAGAGCCGGGCGGGAGGGCTGGGACTTTGGTGTTAGATGTTAAGACATGAAATGTGTACATTAACTGGACTACTTTTGAATTATTCAAAAACTTTTAGGGCCTGCCTTAAGTGTGAAAGTAATGACGGATGAAAGTGGAAAATCCAAAGGGTTTGGATTTGTAAGCTTTGAAAGGCATGAAGATGCACAGAAAGTAAGAGACTTAATCGTTTGTTTTTATTAATGACGTGTACAAAACTGTTGGTCTTGTATTGAAATTTGTGTATGCATTTATATGCCAACATTAATGGAAGTTTTACATATCGTAATCAGTTGTTTGCATTTTATGTGTTAAAGAGTTAGGAATGTGTATGCCCTTGAACCTGGAGATTTGGGGGGTGGGTCTGTCATTAATGTTAGTAATTGGATACATTTCCTTGTTAATGAGATGTATGTACTTAAACAATTTTTGTTTGTTTCAATAAGGCTGTGGATGAGATGAATGGAAAGGAACTCAATGGAAAACAGATTTATGTTGGTCGAGCTCAGAAAAAAGTGGAACGCCAGACGGAACTTAAGCGCAAATTTGAGCAGATGAAGCAAGACAGGATCACCAGATATCAGGTTCATTTTTACTCAGACAAGCAAATAAGACAGGGATGAGGAAACCTATTTTACGTTCATTTCAGTTACGTCCAGGTAACTGAGAGTTTCAGAGGGAAGAGAAGAAATGTGGACTAAAGTAATGGGTGTGCTTAGGTATCACTATGGTCTTCTGCCTCTTCACAGTTTTCTTCTTTTCAGGGTGTGAACCTTTATGTAAAAAATCTTGATGATGGTATTGATGATGAGCGTCTCCGGAAAGAGTTTTCTCCATTTGGTACAATCACCAGTGCAAAAGTAAGTGTGCGCTGTACTTTGATTTGAGATTGTGCAAATTATTTCTAAGCTAGGGAATTGATCCTTAGGCTCTGTTCTGTCACTAACTGCTATAGCAAGCAGTTCACTGATAGCTGTTGACTTATGTCATTCATTCTGGGTAGTCAGCCTCTCCCAAGTAGAAAAAACATGTTTCTCTTTAACTTGGAATCCGATTGCAAAGCAATAGGATTCTAGCCTAAATTCCAAGAACCTAAGCTGTGGGTGTTTTATCCAATGGCTATGGTTTGTGGCTACCTTTTAGAGTTTTAGGCATATATAGGTTTTTCTTGTTTAGGAGTGTGCGCAGGAAAAACAGCTCTGGTTCTTGAATGAGCCCCTTTGCTGGCCTTCCAATTTTCCAAACATGTCCATTGACTTAGACTTTTGTTAAAAAACATATTTACAGGTATAGTGGGTAAATGGAAATATGAAATGCAGGTGTGTTTGCCTTGTGTTTCAGCATGCACTTTTCTAGAATTTGTATTTTTTACTGTTTTTCAAGGTCTTTCTTTTTAGTGTTGTGCCCAAAAGTTGTTTGAATTGACTTTTGTATGTGGTTATGTGAAAGGGACATAGGATGTAATAGAACTTTGGGGGTGGGAGGGCTGGCAAGTTAAACTACAGAACATGAGTTTAGCTTTTATTTATTTACTAAATTTTTGCCAAGTAATACAAAAGGAGGGCTAAAATGGCAAATATCCCTTGTGTACTGATCACAAAATGCACTAGTTATTAGTCTAAGGATTTCCTACACTGGACGTGAATTATTACTGTGTTCAGATGGCAACAATTCTGGGCATCTCCGGGTCAGTAGAATAAGTAGTCTTGTCATTTGAATGCAGTTTATCATTTATTTAAGGAGGAATGTCTTATGTTGGGCTTTCAATTGTGACATTTTTTTTGGTGTTAGCACAGATGATTAAATCTAATATTACATGTCTGCACCTTGGATGCAGTGTTGATTGTAAGGAACTAACTCAGTTACTACAGGATGGTTCTAGCATTAACAAGATTCTTTGGTTGAATGACTGACTGTAAGTGACAGCTCTTGGTTATTCTAACATTTCCCTAACTTTCTCTTTTTTCTTTATAGGTAATGATGGAGGGTGGGCGCAGCAAAGGGTTTGGTTTTGTATGTTTCTCATCCCCTGAAGAAGCCACTAAAGCAGTTACAGAGATGAATGGTAGAATTGTGGCCACGAAGCCACTATATGTAGCTTTAGCTCAGCGCAAAGAAGAGCGCCAGGCTCACCTCACTAACCAGTATATGCAGAGGATGGCAAGTGTCCGAGCTGTGCCCAACCCCGTGATCAACCCCTACCAGCCAGCACCTCCTTCAGGTTACTTCATGGCAGCTATCCCACAGGTCAGTGTGAAGAAACAAAGCCATGCTGGTTTCATAGTGTGCTTTCATAAGCTCTCCACAGTAAAGCACTAAGTTAGTAGATAGAATTGGAAAAACAACTGGCAAAGGTGTAGAGACAGTTGTTTTGAGAGCATGTAGTACTAGTTGTGTTGTGGAGGGATTACTCCCAAAGCTGATGGACTCACTTCTTCTTCACACAGACTCAGAACCGTGCTGCATACTATCCTCCTAGCCAAATTGCTCAACTAAGACCAAGTCCTCGCTGGACTGCTCAGGGTGCCAGACCTCATCGTAAGCCTCATTTAGTCTGGGAATTGGAGAGGGGGGGGGGGGTGTGTGTGTGTGGTGGAGGGGTAAGGGGGGTGGGAGGGGAGATGTGTGTAGCTCAGTCATAACAACATTTAACTCCCCATGTGCTAGGCCATGAGTTCAATTCCCTAGTGCTTTCATATATGAGGCAAATTTGTCCTCTTGTAGTGGTAAATTGCCCCTGATGATGATTTATGGTTGGTAGTTTAGGCGTTTTTGTTTCTGAGATGTGTGGCTTAGGCTGGCTTTGACCTAGCAAGCCTCCTACCTTTGCATAAGATGGGTATGGCCTGTCGTGCCCAGCTTTCAGTTAAAAAAAAAATTATACCATTATCGTTAGTGGGTATTGGCTTTAATTCTTCATTTGCCTTGGTAACTATACCTTTGGTTTTAGAGGCGCTTTAGGGTTGTAGCATTTTAGTTCTTGCCCATGGCATAGCAATCTTGGTTTCAGTTCAGGAGCACTTGGTGTTTCTTTTTTTTCTTATCTCAGATTTTAAGTTGAAACTCACTTTCTGGAAGGGTCTCTTCTAGCTTTTTATATAACTCTCAGCCCTCAGAAAGCTTTGACTTTGACTCACTCAGTGAGGTTCCCAGTTCATATGGGTCTTTCCTTTGAATGCAGCATTCCAGAATATGCCCGGTGCTATCCGCCCAGCTGCTCCTAGACCACCATTCAGTACGATGAGACCAGCTTCCTCACAGGTTCCACGAGTCATGTCAACACAGCGTGTTGGTGAGTCTTAAACCTCTCTATAAAGATTGATCCCCAATTTGAAATGACACAGCAGTTAAAGGTATTTTTTTCTCTTTAGCTAACACATCAACACAGACAATGGGTCCACGTCCTGCAGCTGCTGCTGCTGCAGCCACTCCTGCTGTCCGCACCGTTCCTCAGTATAAATACGCTGCGGGAGTCCGCAATCCCCAGCAACATCTTAATGCACAGCCACAAGTTACCATGCAACAGGTAGAGTTTAGCCCTTTATTTGTTAGGGTCACGGTGCTCAGCTTAAATCAAAGGTCTGATGGTAAATGCACAAGCTATGAGCATCAACTGTCTGGACCATCTTATTAGTTAATCATATGAAGAAAGTTGACAGGCAGCCAGCAGTCTCCCTGTGTGATGGTTAGGGTGGATATGAGGGACATGTTAATGGAAAGTTCATTGGTATTAGATAGACTTAATCATTTTCCTAGGGAACCAAAAACTATCAAGAAGACTAAAAAGTAGTTATGTGTCTCAAGTGCAGATGTGTCAGATGTGGTTATCTGTACTTGCTGACCTTTTAGTCAGTTTCAGCTTCTATTGGTCAAATTTAGGTAGCACTCTGTCCTTGGTTTGACTGTCTGTTGAGGGCTGGCTGGTTTATGTCTTATTCCTTAGGTATTAAGAGGGTTTTTTTGTTTTATATGTAGCCTGCTGTTCATGTGCAAGGTCAAGAACCTTTAACTGCTTCCATGTTGGCATCTGCACCCCCACAAGAGCAAAAGCAAATGTTGGGTAAGTAACCAACATGTGTTGGTGTGTCGGTTGACAAAAATAGCAAGCATCACTTAAAGACTCTTGACACCTAAAATGAAATGGCTTAGGGTGGTATGTGAAGGAGTACTGGAAATCCATCCTGGTGGCCACTCCACTATAGCCATTAGTACAGCTTGAGAAACTGACACCACCAGAAGTGATCGCCTTGTGACAGATTGCGTTATTCATATGGATATGGCAGCAAATAAGGTTCCTAAGCCCCAGGTTGATAATGGCCATTACTATTTTGATTAGAGTATCCTTTGTTCCTAGGTGAACGGCTGTTTCCTCTTATTCAAGCCATGCACCCTTCTCTTGCTGGCAAAATCACTGGCATGCTTTTGGAGATTGATAACTCGGAATTACTTCACATGCTTGAGTCTCCAGAGTCTCTCCGCTCAAAGGTACTTTGTGCTTTCAGCCTGTGTTCTTCACAGATTTACTCTACAGAACATGTAAACGGAGCCTTATACAAATGAGCTATACAATTAGCTTTATAAATACTGACTACAAACCCGTGATAACCTGTAGTGCTCGTTTTCTCTATTTTGGATAATGTGCTCAAAGCTCAGGCTGCTAGTAGATTGCGAAGGTTGCTCCGATGCAGTTTGTTGAGCTCTGCAGCCAGAGTCACTAGTGCTGCTGCTTAGAGCTCATGCCACATTCACCTTAAAGTGTTTGGTGAGAGCTCCTTTTGTTGCTGCGCTTCCTCCTGAGCTGTTATGTTCACTGTTTCCAGGTTGATGAAGCTGTAGCTGTACTACAAGCCCACCAAGCGAAAGAGGCTGCCCAGAAAGCAGTGAACAGTGCCACTGGTGTTCCAACTGTCTAAGTGAGTTCTCCCTTGCTCGCCCCATTAGTACAGCTTCCCAGAGGGTCATAAACATAAACAGAATCTTTCCATCTGATACCAACCAGTAGTTTTAAGTCAACACTTGGAAACAGATTTTTGCATAGTAATTTGTATGCAGTGGCCTTTAATGGAAGTTGGCTTTCATAATTAATACTTTGGCCTCTGTCCCACTACCAGGAGACTGTTAGTGCTTAGTTGTGTGTGTGTGTATTAAGGTCAACAGTAGGGTTGTCAGTAAAAATTACTAGAGCCCTCTTTTGTGGGTCACGTATATGATGTCATAGCTGTGAATATTAAAGGAGTGGGTGTGGCTATGTGCCAGTAATAACAAACAGGCAGCAGACAGACTTGCTGAATTCAGGCAAGGGCTTTGATTATGTCTTTTTTTAACATTTACAGATTGATCAGGGACCACGAACAGAAACTCGTGCTTCACCGAAGAAAAATATCTTAAACATCGAAAAATTTAAATATTATGAAAAAAACATTGCAAAATATAAAATAAATAAAAAAAGGAAAGGAAACTTTGAACCTTATGTACCGAGCAAATGCCAGGTCTAGCGAACAGTGCTAGTCCTAGATTACTTGATTTAAAACAACAAAAAAAAAATACAAAAAAATAGTAAAATATAAAAACAAATTAATGTTTTATAGACCCCGGGAAAAGAATTTTCAGCAAAGTACAAAAATTTAAAGCATTCCTTTCTTTAATTTTGTAATTCTTTACTGTGGAATAGCTTGGGACGTCGGTTCTGTTTTAAGGAGCAGAACTGATGACTGAGCAAGGAAACGTAATTTGGATTATAAAATTCTTGCTTTAATAAAAATTCCTTAAACAGTAGATGGTTATGGTTTTATTTATTTTGGTCTCTTGGCAATTGTCAGGTGAAGCAGCAGGTGCTGACTTAATAGTATAGAGCTGGAAGCAGGTACCAATTCTGTAAAGCACAAGCTGTTTGGGGGGGGGTGTTGGATTTAGACAAGATCTTGCTGTGTTGCTGGCCAGTCTTAGCCTCCCACATTTTGGGTTCATATGTATGTCTCATCATTTTTGACATTATTCTAATGCATTTTATTGATTATGACTTACTTTAAACTCGCATAGCTTCATGATAGAATTTGAGCTGGGTAGCAGTGAAGACAATCACTGATAGGCTGCCATGGTGCCCTGCTGCTGAGGTGGTACTGGGTAAGGGCCAACTGGAAACTCTACTCTTTCCATTTCTATGTAGATACTTGCATGAACAGGTAAAAGTGAGGCTACTGTGCTTTATTCCCAGACTGCAACCTGCTTTTACTCCTTTCCCTCCAGCTCACATTTCCCTCCTGTGAGATATTACATACTTGGAATTTGTTACTCTTGAGATAAGTGAGGGCCCAGGCTGTGGACCTAAGGTGAGCCTCAATTTAGAACAGGCTATAATGAGCACGTTGATCCAGCTCTGATGGAAGCAAAGTAAAATGATGAGTTTGGTGGAACTGGAAGTTGTTTAGTACACTGGCTAGTTCTGCCAGGCTGGGCTGTTTTGATACACACCTCTAATGGAGGCCTAGACCAGTCAAGGAGACCCTGGAGTAAGCCTGCAGTCAAGCCGTGGCTTAGGATAGTGCCAAAGTGTCCCTGAATCTTACTTTCCCCTTTTATGTTTACTCTGCTGCAAATAGAACCTGTCTCTGGTGCTTTCTCACTCCAGTCCCTTGGATACCCTTCAAATGTGGCTGTGACTATACCCTGTTCCAAGTGCTATCTTGTTGATGTGGCAAACAGCTATAGTGCTGTTACCTGCCTTAGGTTGTGTATTCACATTTGGGCAAGTTTGTGTCCTCTATGAGGGTAGGGAAACATGCAGGCTATTTAGTTACTGACAGTACTTCAGGAAAACAGCATGAAATATTAACCTCAACATTTCTTCTGTAGTCAAGAGATTTGTATTTTCAAAAAGATCACACAAAAAATGTCTACTGATAAAAGTATACATTAATAGATGAATGTATGGTTGCTGGTGGAATTCTAAGTAACACAGGTATGGCACATGGATTTTTTTGTTTTGCTGATTTCAGATCAGCTGTAGGTATGCTAAGACACATTCACAGAGTTCACCAGCCCATGAATGATTGCCGTTTCTCACATGTAAGTTCTAGATGGTAAGAGTTTCAAGCTAATTTTAATAGATATAACTTTGTATGGCTGAATAGTTTATAGTTGATGGTTCTTTAAATTATATTCCATAATTAGGGTCAACAATGACAGTCATGCAGTGAGTGTCTGAGAACACTGCACTGAGGTGATGCCAGTTGGGGCTTTAGTGATCCAAGGCGGTCAGTATGAGATCTTGAGTCAACTGTTTAGGTTTTTGAGACAGGGTTTCTCTGTAACATCCTTGGCTGTCCTGGACTTTACCAGGCTGCCAGCCTCTGCTTCAGTGAGGGTGAGAGCCACCACACCCAGCATCAGTCAGTTTCAGTAACAATGGGAGAAAGTGGTTTAGATCAACAATTGTACTAAAACTACAATTTATGGAGGGAACTCATGGCCAGGTGCACAGTAGGTACACACCACAGAGCTGCCCCACTGGCTTCACAGAACTTGGTTTTTGCGGCAGGTTCTCCTTGGCTATCCTAGAACTGTGCAAACTAGGCTGGCCTCACAGAGATCTGCCTGCCTCTGCCTCTTGAGTGCTGGGATTAAAGGTGTACACCACCACACTGCTCCGTTAATGCTTTGGGACTGGTCTATGACTACTACGTATAGAGGCTTTAAGAAATAACTTGTTCAAAGTAACTGATAATGGAGCTGGGGCTTGGAGTCCCTGAAGCCACACAAGCGTCACCCCAGAAATCCCAGGAATTTGGCCTGCTTTTGCCCTGAAGAAGGGGACTAGAGGCAAATAGCATATTTTAAAGTTTGAAATCATGCTTTTGATGACCATTTTGGGGGTAGTCAAGAGAAATGAACAAGTCCTTTGGAGTCTCCATTCAGGCCTAGCAAAATTCTATGTCTGTTTCCTAATTGTCTTTGGACCAATTGGAAAATGTCATTCTTTTGACCCATTTTTTTAAACCTGTGAAATTATGATGCTGACCCTGTGAGCTTCTATAACAATTAGGATTTCTAATATGATAAAATGCCAATTCTTGCCCATGAGGAAATTGGCAACAAATGGAAACTGAAGTAATCCAACACTTGTAATCGGTTGGGACAAGATTCCCAGCTCTCCCCTGACATGCCTGTGGACTTCCGGTAAGGTGGCATTAGTCACCATAGCCACAGGTCATGCAGCACACACAAGCTGCAATGCAGTGTTTCTGTTTAGTGAGATCTTGGGTGTTTATCAATTTAGGAACATCACCCATTCCTTAGTTTTATTTCAGAATTTTTTCCTATATTTAATTTTGCATAATTTTTTGATCTGTGTACTGTTGAGTATAAAAGCAGAATTCATATGTATGTATGTATGAGCTGGTCTCAGTGTAGCCCTGGCCTTCAACAGACTAAGCAGGCCTCTGATTCTCAGGAGCCCTCCTATGTCGACCTCCAGAGTGGTAGGATTACATGTATGTCCATATATGGGTATCTGGTTTTTGGCCAGTGTTCATAGCAACATAATTTTCTTTAAAAAACAAAGGGTGGGGGGGGGAAGACACTTTCTAGTCTTCAATTTTCTCTTGTGCTTTTCCTCAGTTTATTATTCCATACACCCCAAATGAAAACTCTCCACCATACTTTCATTTGTGTATGTATGGTAGTTCTTAAATCTTAAATGAGCTTACAAATTCCTGTGCTTGGCCCTTTGGGCCCCTATGATGTTTGTTTGTCTGTATCATGTATAGCAGTAGTGTTGGCTGTGTTGCGACTATATGTGAATATATGAAAATTTATCCATTGTCTTGTGTGGATAAGCTTGTGGTTTTCCTTCTTGGTTGTAAAGCTTCTGAGTAGGCAGGACAGTAAGACAGGCAGAGGGATGTGAGGCTACAGTGGTCACTGCTGCAACCACTAGCAAATTACAGTTAGACGTATTGCACTGGAACAAGGCCCAGTCCTTCTGATCACTGCAGGACATTAGTGTTTTCATTTTGATTTCCAAAGAAGTCATTTCAGAATGTCTGCAAAATCAGGCTTAAGATGTAGGCTCTTAATGGATTATAAAGTGTCACAAAGTGTGTCCTATTTGTGAATTTAAGCCTACACTTAAATTTTTCCTTTGAAAGTTAACTTTTAATTTTGTGTGAATGCTTTACCTATGTGCATATCTGCACCACTTGGTACCTCTGGAGGCTAGACATGTCAGAGTCCTTGGAACTGGAGTTAGATGGTCATAAGCTAGCTACCCTGTAGGTGCTAAGAATCAAACCTGGCTGCTCTGTAAGAACAGCCAGGGCTCTTAACCTCTAAGCTATCTCTCCAGCCCTAAATTTTAGTTTAGCTTTGTTTTTTAAATAAAAGTTTTGATTCTTTGAAAGTTTCATACTGATGCAAATATATCAATCATATCCCTTCACTACCCCCGATAACTTTCTTTGCTTTTCACCTCTTTGTCAAAGGTTAGGAAGGAGATTTGCCATTGCAAGGAGAGGCCTATCATGTCAGCAGTGACGAGCCAGGGCTTTGCAATGAGATCTGTCCTGAATGCTGGGATTCTAGATGAGGGAGACTTTCGCCTCGTGCAGAAGGCAGACATGGGCAGACCCACCCAGCAGGGACCCAGGCGGGGGAGTGTGTGTGCATCAGCACCTGACGTGGCAGCAAGTGCTTCAAGTAGCAAATGCCATTCATCGTAGGTACAAGCTTTGCTTAGACGTAGAGTGCAATGTAGGAATTTTCACAGACTCAGAGGCTGAACCCTTTGCTGCTTGTGCATTTCTGTCTTCCTTTCTCTTTATGGAATTAAGAATGAACTTAGGGCTACTATGCTGTCTGTCTGTCTATTGACATGGTCTGGCCAAGTTGGGCAGGTTAGCCTTGGTCTCCTGGTCTGATCTGTACTGCTTCCCTTTACCCCCATGTCTGTTTCCTTGGGAGAAGGAGAGTTCTTCATGCGTTGTCTTACACAGGCAGCACAGTTTGGGGAGACAGAAATGCACTGTGGTGCAACATGCAGGCCAATGCCCAGCTGTCAGTAACTATGTCCTCACCTTTCTTGGTCAATGTAGGACTACTTACGGGATTAAGTTGTCTTTCTGCCTGCTCCTCAGCCTTTTGTTTGTTGTTGTTTGCTTTTGTATAATTGAGATTATTTTATAAATGTTCTTCAACTTGGGTTCATTGTCATGTCCTTACGATTAGGTTCAGGCAATGGACTCCCAGTCGACACAGTGGCTGCGCCCTCACCCCTCACCTCATTTATTGAATTACCCTTCCTCTCTCAGTCAGCAGTTTGTAGAGAAACTCAAAAAAAAAAAAAAAAAGTGCAAAATTACCAAAGTCTCCCTATCCTTCTGAGCTTCTTCCACCAAACAAGAAACCAGCACTGATTTGTGGCTGAGTCGGCTATCTGGACTTGGTGACTCCTCGGCTCCTCACATGGGCTGCTGTAAGGGAGATATCCCCCTAACTGCTGATTGATGACCAGGGAAAACCCACTATTTCTGCTTTTAAACTCAGCTTACCATCTATTCTGTCTTTATCTCGGATGTTGTCTTTTCTCAGACTTGGTCTGTAGACGCCCTGGTGTCCTATGATCCCTACTCGTGAGTTTATACCTAAATTAATCCTAGCCCTAGAACCAGACATTATATCTATCTTATACTTATTTTAAACATTGTTTGTGCATGTGGATGCATGTGCACATGTGTGTGTGTGGTGTCGGGATGAGTGTACACATGTATCTTACCAGGATA